GGAACACCAGGCGCCTGGGAGACTGGAAACGGAGCCTGAGCCACGTCATCAGCTCAGCCTCAGGCTCCGGTGGCTCAGCCCTGTGCTCACTTTGCCCGAATCCCCATGGCCTTCCCGGCTCACCCCACTGCCGCCGCTGCCACCACTGCCGCCTCCTTCGCCGCTTCTCTGCCCAGAGCCCTTTCCCTGCCAACCTTCGGCCTTGCTGTGGCAGGGCTCTGCTCAGGTGATGTGAGGTGAGGGTCCCCCCGCCCCCAGGATCACGTGGCCCCTTCCACACCTATTTCCTGCTGTCCCTTGTGCTGACTCCAGGAGATGGGGGCCACTGGCTGCCGTTGGGTGGGGCAGGGGGGGGTGCTGGGCCGGGCAGCCTGCTGCCTTGTTGCCCATGGGGTCACTGTGATTAGAATCCAACAAGCGGCCACATGCATGGGACTGTGACTCCTCACGAGAATGCCAGTCCCAGCAGGGTGGGATTGGGGCCCTGTTAGCTGGTGCTGTTGGTTTTTTTTGGGGGGGCGATCGAGTTGGTTCTGACTCAGGGTGACTCACGGGGCTCCCGAGGCTGTCATCGCCACCAGAGCGGTCCTCTGGTTTGAGCAGCTCAACTTCCGCTCCCGCCTGGCCACCAGGCTCCTTGTTCTGATACCCACCTCACCCCCCCTCTGAGCCACGTCCCACTTGGGGCGACCCCTGTAACGTGGAGCCAAACTGCTCCGGAGGGTGTGGACACTAGACCTCTACAGGAGCAGATAGCCTCGTCTTGTTTCCCAGGCGCTGTCACTGGGTTTGAACTGCTGCCTTCCTGGGCAGTCCAGAGTCTAGCCTGCGGCACCACCCGTAGGTGTGCCTCTTGGGCTGGGGGAAGGGGCCAGGCTGCAGGCTTCCTCTCGGGCCTGTCCCAAAAGGACATTGAGTCGTGGCGGGAAATATATCCACATAAGGGGTCTTCATAAAGTGTGGGGAAATTCTGTGACCTTTCCATTCCATTCTCCCCATGACCTTTACCCCCTTCTCTCAGTCCCTGGGAAAGTTGCATCACCAGACAGTGGCGTTTCCCTGCGGACTGTGTATCTGTGTGTAGGAGCCCGGGCGGCACTGTGGTTGGCTACGCACTGGGGTCAGCAGTTTGATCCCCCTGGCGCTCCGAGGGAGGAATATGAGGCTGTCTGCTCCCATCAGGAGGGGCCAGTCCTGCCCGGTTCTGAGCATGGGCAGGGACTCCCCGGCCTCCGTGCCTGGTTTGTGTGGCTGTGAGCTGACTCTGAACCTCCAGCCTCGCGGCTCACAGCTCCTCACTTCAGGGCTTCTCAGGGATCCTGCAGCAGCAGTGACCCACACAAGCATTTGTTGGAGTGACTAGTGGCCCTGGAAACTCACGTTCGTCCAAGAACTCGGGGTGTGACCCCCCCAAAACCAGGGTTTTGCAGGAGAAGGTCATCCTGGGAACAGTGCAGCCTTGCCTTTCTGAGAGACGAGAGTGCGGTGCGTGCGCGCGCGCACACACGAAGGAGGCCACTGCAGGCCAGGGGCTGCAGATAGCCACAGCAGCTAGGCGACCTGGGTCTGCAGACGGGGGGTGCAGGCTCAGTCCGCGGGAACGTTCACTCACGGCTGTCTCTGGTGACCTGCTCTGGAATGGTGTGTCCTCGGAAGTGAGACAGGAGGCCACGGGGGCTTTGCTGCCCTGGCTTGTCAGGGCCCCACAGCAGTGACGGGGGTGGGGAGTGGGGGTGCGTGCGTGCGTACGTGTGCTCGTGCGCGCTTGCACCCATGTGCGCACGAAGTCTCCTGGGACCTTGTTGGCACACTGACCTTGGCCACCGCACCCCTATGTGGCTCTTCCATGGGGCAACCCCAGCAGAAGTGGCTGTGCACCCCCCGCCCCATGTGACGAGCCCCAGTGCGGCGGCTTCTCACCCAGCTGCTAACTCCAGGGTTGGCAGGTGGAGGCAAGGGCTGGCCACCTGCTCCCATAAAGATGACACCCTGCGGAGGGAGCTGCCAGGGACTCGCCCCATCTTTGTGGGGCAGGGTCCTGGGTTCTGGGGAGGAGGCAGCAGCAGCTGCCCCTTCTTGTTCCCATGACTCTGATTGTGGGTGCTGGCCCCCACCAGCCTTAGGTCCAAGGTCAGGGCCCCTTAGTTCCCAGGAAGTGTCAGCTGGCAGGCAGGCAGCTCCCCCAAAGGCAGCCCCACTTCCGGCCATAATTCTACCCTCCCTCCCCCGGAGCAGAGCCGGTCACTGGGGATGGGAAAACCGTGTCATGCATCTTGGCAGAGCCAGCCTGTGGGGGTGGGAGGCCTGCTCGAGGAGGAAACTTTCTGCTGGGTGGGTATGTGGGTGCCGGTCCCACGTCCCACTCACTTGTTATTCACCCCCATGCTTCCTGAGCGCCTTTGTGGGAAGTGCGCCTCTGGGGACAGCAGAGGAAGCAGCCGGGGTCCCGGGTCTTGCAGGGTGGGCTTCCGAGGAGCAGCCGTAGAGCTGGGCAGCCACGCGGGAGCTCGAGCGCACAGGTGGGGGGACAGTGCTGCCGAAGCAGGCATGCTGTGTGCATACGTGTGTGTGCCTGTGTGAATGTGGACTGGCGTGGGAGGGACCCCACCAGGAGTTCCCATGCCCCATCTACAGCTGGGGAGACAGGCTCAGAGCTGAAGGCCTCAGACAGCTCACCACGGGCTCTGTCTGTCCGCCTGTCCCTGTCGCCCCACTCCCGCCAGCACGTCCTCGCTTGGTGGCTTAGTTGCTTACGCAGAATCCCCGGTCCACCTGGCTTCCCACAGAGCATGCTTGCAACCCCCAGCCCTTTCCTCTCCTCCTCAACAGCCTTCTGGGGCTGCCGCTGTCCTTGGAGCAAAACTGCCTTAGCTGCTCCAGAGGGCCATCGGGTCCAGCTCCCCTGACTGCTGCCCTGGGAGTCCCCCCACTCTGCCCCATTACTCCCCAAGGCCTTGAGGTGGGTGGGTGGGGCTTCCAGAGCCCCCTTCTCTCTGTAGTCACTGTGTTGCCTGCTGGAGTTGAGACCCTCAAGGCCCGAACCCGCCGTGCCACATTGCGTCCTCAGCCCTAGCTAGGGGTCAGCACCCCTGAGCCTGGTCCAAGCAGGAGCAGGGCCTCTCATCGCTGCCCTCCTCCAGCCCTGAATGGCCCAGAGCAACCCCGACCCCCTCATCTTTAAGTCTGCAGACCTTTCTGGTGAAGGGGGAAAAAAAAGCAAAGCATGTCTCCTGCTCCCGCATACTGTTGGGCTCCCACCCAGTCACAGTCCCCCTCGCAGGACCCCGCCTCATGCCCAGCCCTGGCCTGCACCCGAGTGGGCACCCAGCGAGCGAGGGCGGGACGTCTCCCGCCTGCAGATTTCCTCCAGCCGAGTCGCCGCATGCCCTCTGGTGCCACACCATGGGGGGGTTGCAGAGCCCGGCTTCTCTTTGTGGCTGAGCAGCATTCTGCCACTCAATGGCCCTGCTTGTTGTTCCGTGGGGTGTTGACGGGCACTGGGCTGAGGGAGGGGCGCTGCTGGGAGCCCTGGGTCCAGGTCTCTGTTGGAGGGTCTGCGCTCAGGTCTTTGTGTCCAGACCTGAGCGGGCACTGACCGGGTCTGGGCACCGGGGTGGGGGGAGGGGGAGCGCCTTCTTGGTGGGTGGCAGGAGGCTGCGCCCTGTGCTGGGGTGGATGCCCTGGCCATGCCTCGTGGAGAGGAGGCTGGGGTGGGGAGGAGGGGTGCCACCCTCCAGGGCTCTGACTGCCCTCTAGGACAGAGCAGGGGAACTGCCCTGGTGGCTAGACTGTTTGCAAGTGGCTGGTGGGTTTGAACCGCCAATCTCTCAGTTATGAGCTGAGCAGTTCACCACCCGGACTCCCAGCCAAACAGTGAAAGCAGCTGACACTGGGTTGGCACGGTGAGGCTCCTGGGAGAGGCATCTTGGCTCCTGTCTCTCCTGGTTGAGGCGAGCAGGCATCAGGGACAGCTGTCTCCAGGACACCTTTCACATGGCCTTCCTGCCCCATGGCTGCATTTGCTGCTAGCCTTCTGCCCCACGGCCCTGAGCCGCGTGCTCCGCCTGCCCTGGCAGACGGGAAGGACTCGAGGAGGGTAGGGTTGCTGGAAGCTTCCTGAATCTCGGTTTGCCCGTGTCCCATCTGTGAGGCCGATACTGGGCCTCTAGCTCTCTCTGAGTTGTCCAGCAGGCCTGTGCTGGATGCAGGTGCACGGGCTCTGATCCACGTGCTTGGCTCTGATCCACGTGCTTGGCAAAGTCTGCCTGCCATGACCTTCCACCTCCTGCCCCTGTCTGCCCAGCTTTTACGTCAGCCACAGCCTCGCCTCCCGCACAGGCATTGCCCGGGGTCACCCCTGACCCACATCCATGCTCGGCCTGATCCTGGTTCACTTGTGTGCCCCTCCCCCTAGCCTAGGGTGACCAGATTTTAACATTGGTAAAGCGGGACACCATTGGTAAAACTCATATCCTGGCGAAATAGCCACATGGCAGCCAAAAACCGTATACCCTAGCTTGTCGTGCATTCTTTCCAAAAATCGGGACTTTTTAAAAACGCCGCGGGAGGTGGGAAAAATAGTTAAAAAGATGGACTGTCCCGCCAAAAGTGGGACGTCTGGTCACCTTACCCTAGCCGTGCCTCTCCAGTCAGGTCGTGGTGCCCGTCTGTTTTGTCTGGGCCTTCTGTGGAACTGTGTCCTGCTGAGGCTGGAATTTCCCTGAGGCCATGGAGTGAAGCTGGGGACCCAGTGGTGGCCGGGGCCAGTGGGTGTGATCAGGGCTTGGTCTGTGGAGCTTGGGGTCTCCTGAGTGAGTCTCCTGAGTGAGGCACCAATTGGTCAGGGCTAGTAGCGTGTGCTCACAGAGGATGCTGAGGTTTGTGTCCCTGCTGGGTGAGGCCCTTGGCCATGGTGGGGGTCCTCACTGGTGTGGGAGGGAAGTCCCTGGGGACTCCTGCTACCCGTGGCTGACCTGGCTTCTCCTGCCATCTCCTTACAGGTGCCCGTGGCAGCAGCTGATGACGGCTGATCTTTAACCCAGTGGCAGCCGAAAGCCTTGGAAGCGCCGTCATGTCGGGGTCTACGCAGCCTGTGGCGCAGACGTGGCGAGCCGCTGAGGCCCGGTACCCACCCCATGGCATTCCCTACCCTGTGCAGCTCGCCCGGCCCCACACGGTAAGGGCAACTTGGCCATTCTCTCCTGAGGCCTCCTGGGAGGTAGCCCAGGGCCGCCCGTGGAGGGTGGGTGAGGACCATGCACCCCCACCACCATGTTGCTTGGCTGCCCTTTTACTGCAGCCCTGTCCCAGATCTGCAGCTGCTAGGGGAGGGAGGGACGGGCTCTTGGAGTGGGGGCTGCCCGGTGAGAGCAGGAGACCCCCATGGACGGGTCTCTTCTGCCTGGGGAATGCGACTCCAGGCACATTGGTTCTTTGGGCCCTGGGGTGGGGCTGAGGGAGGGTCCCAGCTGGGTGTCTGTCTCTCAGGAGTGGGGTGGGGTAGGGGGTGGTGGCGTGGGCGGGCCTTTGCATAAGCATTTGCATATGAGCTCAACTGGTCCAGAGAGGGGAGTCCCTGAGGATGGCCCGATGTGTCCAGAGCCTCTGGCTGGGCCCCAGACCTTGTGCCTGCCCTGGGGGCCTCGGCGCCCCGTCCCCGCCCCCGTGCCAGTGGCCAGAGCTGTGTGGCCTCTGGGCGCTCGGTTCACTGGCTGACCCCAGCTTCCTCCCACTTTCCCTGCTGGGCCATCTGTGACGCGGGCTGTGGCTGGACAGCACCCAGGCTGAGGTCAGGGGGTGTGGCTGTGGGCCCTGGGCCAGCACAGCTGGAGCCGGGAGTGGTGCTACATAGGTCTGGGGGCCCGGCTGCTCCCCGCTCCTTGCTGGTGGACAGTTGCAGATGCCATCTTGCTGAGGGTCTCCCCCTGGCCCACCGTGCCCGCCGCCCCCTCTCCCTCCCCTCCCCCTGCTGTTGTGTTTAAGAGGAGAGACGAGCTCCTGGCAGCCTGTGAGGCGTGCTGAGTCCTCCTCTCTGTGTGTCTGTGTGGACGCATGTGTGTTTGTGCACGTGGGGCCTGGCAGAGACTGTGGTGGTGTGTGCTCGGGCCCCTGGGTGTGCCTGTGGGCCTGTGTCTGCAGGTATTAGCAGCGTGTGCCTGGAGGCCAGCCTGTCTCACCCAGTGCAGAAGAACCCCCCAAGTGTCCTCCTTGGATGCCTTTGAAGCCTGAGTTTGGCTAGTGGCTCCCTACCCCGCCCTCCAGGTGGCCAGAGGCTCTGTCCTCTGCAGTGTGGGTGACCTGGGCTGTGGGCGCAGACCAGCCTCGTGCCCCTGCAGGCCAGTCGTCCGGTGTGGAGTGTGGTCATGATGGGCGGTGCTGTGGGTCTGTGTGAGCTGCACATGTGGGCTCGCCCTGGGGTGCCCCGCCCTGCCTCTCCGGCTCGGCTTGTGGGGTCAGCCCCTCCGCACAGTCTAACCACCTTCTCTGGGTGTCCTCTGTGCTGGCACGGGCCGCGATGGGCAAGGAAACCTGCTCTTGTTGCCAGTCTCTCTCCTGACGAAGATGACAAGCCCCTGGGTGCCTGCACCTCAGTTTCCCCCGTCAGTGGGGCTGGCAGCTGTGGGTCATGACGGATGGCGGGGCGCTGGCTGTCTGGGTGCTCGGGCGACTGGGTCCAGTGTGGCTGTGGGGCCCAGACCTTGGCTACCCACCGTCCCCTGCGTGGCCTTCTCTGGCTAGGCCTGTGGTTTCTGTATGGGAGCGGGAGGCCCAGCGAGCGAGTTGGGGTTCACACAGCGGGGACGTGTTTGTCCGCCCTGTCCCTCCAGGATGTCGGGCTGCTGGAGTACCAGCACCACCCCCGGGACTACGCCGCCCACCTGTCACCTGGCTCCATCCTCCCGCCCCAGCGCAGGAGGCCCTCCCTGCTGTCGGAGTTCCAGCCTGGGGGTGAGAGGTGAGAGGCTGGGGGGCCGTGGGGGGAGGGGCGACGGGTAGCACAAGGCCATGTGGCCCTCAAGTGGACCCTGAGGACCTCTAGCAGCCTCTTGTCACCCAGATGTGGGGTGTGGGGGCTGGTGACTGGGTGGAAGACGTATATTCAGAGTTCCCCAGAGATCCAGAACCAGGAGATGGGCACGAGGAGGTCGTACACACACGCACACTTACACTTAAACGAGGAACTCCCAAATGTTTCTGGGAAAACAACAGAAAAGTAATGACACAGTGTAAACATATACACTCGTGCACATCACATGGTTACACACATGTCAGAAGTGTGTCGGTAGACACACAGAAGTTGTATGTATTGCATGTATGCGCAAGCATGCTCTTGTACGTGCACACATGTAGACATATGGCTATTTGGTATGTTCCTGTGTGTGCATGTGTATAGAAAGGTAACGCATACTAACAGATGTAGAAACCTGTGTTTATGCACATGGATGTGCATTGGTGTGTGTGTTACATGTACCCGTACATGTGAATCAGAAACCCTGGTGGTGTGCTTGTGCATTGGGCTGCTGACTGCAAGGTCAGCAGTTTGAAACCAGCAGCAGCTCTGTGGGAGAAGGAGGGGCTTTCTACTCCGGTACAGAGGTGTGGTTTGCCACTGTGAGTCACTGTTAGTTGGCATCGTTTTGGCGGCATTGTGAGTGGTGTGCGTGTGTGTGTCTAGACAGATAGTGGGAGTGGACAGGGCAAGGCCCTCAGAGCAGAGACTTGGCTGCCCTCCACTCAGATTGAGGAACGGTGATCCTGGCAGAGGGAACAGCAGGTGCAGAGGCCCTGAGGTGTGGAGTGTGCCCAGGAACCACCGGGGATCTTGTAGAAAGGCGGCTCTGACTGTGGGTCTCCCTAATAAGCCCCATGTGGACAAACCCTGCTGGCCCATGGCCTATCTGAGTTGGGGAGTCCATGAAGTGGGGTAACCCTTGACGTGGGGGTTGTGTCCAGGTGCCCACCCTGGTGAAGCCATTGCCATAAATGTGGCGGGTAGGCACCAACTTGCAGGGTGGCACAGCCCACAGTGAGTGTGGTCCATGTACAGTGGGTGCCCGGCAGGGCCTGGGGTGCAGCACCTCTTCCTGCCTGCCTTGATGCCCTGGACACCACCACCCCCTTCCCCGGCAGGTCCCAGGAGCTGCACCTGCGCCCTGATGCCCACTCGTACCTGCCCGAGCTGGGCAAGCCGGAGCTGGAGTTCATCGAGAGCAAGCGCCCGCGCCTTGAGCTGGCCCCTGAGACCCTGGCCCGGCCCTCGGCTCTGCTGGCCACAGGCCAGCCCGGCGGCCCCGAGGACCCCGTCAAGGTAAGGCTGCCGGGCGGGCCGGCAGAGGTCCTGAGGGTGGCTGCAGCTTGGAGGGTATGTGTGTGAGCATGTGCCGAGCGTGTGCCGCCTCCTTCCTTCTGGATAGATTTTCTCTGACTGCCTTCGACATGACTGGTCACCACTGGACTTGGGGTCTGGAGCTCTGGGCCGTGCCCTGAGGGGGTCCCTGCCAACAGGGGAGGCTTCACTGAGAAGTTTCTGGCCGTCCCCAGTTCCCTTCACTTGGCCCGTCCTGGCCTGGGGCTTCCTGGGTACAGGGGCCTGGGCCAGGGAGGGTGGGCAGGGGGCAGGCACAGAGAGTGGTCGGGAGCATGCTGACCATAGTGCTGATGGGGTGCCAGGCACCAATTCGGCCAGCACCTGTGGGGGTGGGCATGATCCCCTTTAGAATGGGCAGTGCCCAGATCACTCGGACAGGAGGGCACCACCCCTGCCAGGCAGCTGGGAGGTGAGAGCGGAAGTCTGGACTCGGGCCGCTCTTCCACAACGCCCCAACCTCCTCCCCCACTCTGGCCTGTGAACCTCGGCTGGTCCCAGTGTGGATGGACGCCTTTGGTGGGGGCTCTGGGCTGTTCCCTTCCTCCCACCCGCAGCCCACCACCTGGTTCTCAGGGTTCACCAGCCCTCTCCTCTGTGGAGCGCTGTCTCCCTTTGTTGCTGCCTGACTGCAGGCCTCCCTGTGTCCATCCGTCCCCCATCAGGGCACTTGGCTAGCACTCGGTATGCCAGGGCTGACGGGGGCTGGTGCCTCCCTGTGTTGTACGTTTCCACCATGTGTGCTCCAACCCCGTGGGCCTGTTCACTGCAGATGAGTGGTTAGCAAGCACAGGTCAGTCCGGGCTTACCTCAGTCCCACCCTCTGTCCCTGTCGGGGCCTGTGGATATGGAGAGAGACCTTGGTGCCGGATGCAGGGACTGTATG